CTGCAGTCCAGAGAGACCCGGGTTCAGTTCCCGCTAAGGGCATGTACCTTGGTTGCAGTTTGTCCCCGGCCCTGGTTGGGTTGCGTGGATGGCAGCCACTCGATGTGTCCCTTTCACGTCGACGTTTCTCTCTCTCTCCCCCTCCTACTCTATCTGAACAAAAAATGGAAAAATGTCCTCAGGTGAGAATAAAAAAATAAAATAAAGTAAAAATAAAATCAAAAGTTATCACAAGAAAAAAAATTCTGTAACTGTGTGGCGACAAATGTTAACTAATTGTGCTGATCATTTCACAATAGATATAAGTATTATGTTATACACATGAACTAATATAATGTTGTGTGTTGATTATACCTCAATTAAAAAAAAAAATTAACCAGAACTGGCTTGTAAGGGCTCAGGATAGCTGAATTTTCAGGAATTTTGCAAGCTGGTTGTTAAACACAGTCATTACTAAACATTAAGTTATATAAACTTAAATAAATTAAAACAGTCAAACTCATCACCTCATAATTATTTTACCATCATGTTCTCAAAATTATTTATATCGATTGTATCTGTATGATGGAAATACTACATAACAGTATCCTACCATGCATCTTTTCTCAACTTCACATTCAATGATGTCACATTGGTAACCTGAAATTGGCCATGGGGGGAGTATTTACACCATGGAAATTGGCAACTGCTATAAAACAAGGGCTTTTTTTCCCCCTTGGAAAACTGATTGTTAAACATTTACCAGCATACCACTGGTGGAGAGTCTCTATTATGTAGTTTTGGGTTAACTCTCTCATGGTGAATCTGCTTTTAGAATCTTTCAGAATTAAGTGGGCTGCGTTAAGAAATCTTTCCTTGACACTAATCTATGTCATATTGCTATAATTTCACATAACTAAGCCTGCAGCCCAGGAGGAGGCTTTTTACCTACAAATAACATGTCACATGAGGATTATTTTAAGGAATAAAGACTTTTTTTCAACAAATCTTTATTTAGTAGCTACTATGTGCAAAGCTGTGTGCTGAAGACTAGGGCAGATATTTAACAAATAGTAATCTATGTTCTCAAGAAACTCATTTTAGAGGAGGTGACACAAAACCTTTGCTAATATAATGTGATTAGTGCTATGATGGAGACACGGAAGCATGGAGGAGAGAGGAGCTAACTCAGAGGCCATGAAAGAGACTGCAGAAAGAACTTGGACTATTCCCATCAGTGTCTGTCTTGTCCCTAGCACAGTGTTGGCACTCAATAACTGTTGGATGAATGAAAAAGGTAGCAGTTACCTTGACCATGGAAAAATAAACTTATTAGATAGAATGGGTAGAAAGAGGGCCTTGGAAGAAACAGTCTGTGCAGAGGCTTGGGGTCAAAAGAGCTCAGCACATTTGAAGAAATAAAAAGTTCAATGTGGCATGAGGGGTCCAGGGACAGGAACTGGTAAGAATGAGAATATGGAAGAGGGGTTCTTTGCCTCAAATCTTTGCAGAACTCTCAAAAGACAGAAGTCGGCTTGTTCTGCACAGCCTGGGGACAGACCTAGGAGCAAATGCAGGGAGTCCAAGAGAAGTAGAATTTGGTTGACTTTTTAACAGAACGTCCGACAGTGCAATGGGCCACCTTGGAAGGCAGTGAGCGAGTTCCCTAAGAGGGAACAAGCAGGTCCCAGACGAACTGGCGCAGCAGATTGCTATGCATGCATACGATTTTTTTTCCTGACTAGATTTTAGAAGAATTGATCAAATCTCATTGCTTAAAAGATGTGAGATAATATATGGACAACCATCTTTAACCATAATTCTACAGAAGACACAGAAACTTTCCTGAAGAGTTTGTTTATGTCAATCATTGATTAAAACTGAAGGCAATGGGGTGCTGTAGGCTCTTCCATGAAGGAATATCTTTCAAATCACGGAGGTCTGCACTCATTCATGAAGCAGTTCATGAATGATTCAATATCTGTGTGTGTTAAGGATTTTGCTAAGTTGTGGAAATAGAAATAGAAATGAAAAAAGACTCCTGCCCTCATAGTGCAGGGTAGAAATGCAAATAAATATTTATACTCTAATAGCTACAATACAGAGTGTTACCAAAAATTCACTTTGCTAAGGGGACTCAGGGAAGGCCTCAGGGAAGAAGTGACTCAGAGCTGACGTTTTTGAATTATTAAATTTATTGGGATAACATTGGTTAAGAACATTATACAAATTTCAGGTGTATACTTTCATATTATGACAGCAGTATACTCTATTGTGTGCTCACCACCCAAAGTTTAGTCTCCTTCCATCACCATGTATTTGACCCCCTTTACCAGAGCAGAAGAGAAGGAGGGTGGGGGAAGTTGAAGAGAGCTGACTTTTGAAAATTAAAAAGGAACTCACTTAATGAAGGAGGAGAAAGATAGTCCAGGCAGAAGGAAAGCATATACCAAGATACAGAGGCATGAAAATGCACTGCCAGTTTGGGGAGGTGAGTGGTTGGTAAAGTATAAGGTAGATGGTAATGAAGAAGAAGCCAACATGTGCATAGTTTTGAATTCAATGCTAATGATTTTTTGTTTTAATCTGTGATAAGAAGCCAATGCTGGTTTTTTCCTGTCATCTAGTCACTTAAAATTTTTTATTTTGGAAGAATTTTCGATAGAAAAGTTGCAAAGATAGTACAGAGTTCTTATCCAAGAACCATACAGGGTGGGGCAAATGTAGGTTTACAGTTGTGAGTATGCAAAACACAGAGTTTATTCTTGCATTATTATTCATTAATCGTTGTGTTATTTTCCATATAAACAACCTTAAACCTCTGTTTGCTCCACCCTGTATCTCTCTCACCCTGGTCCCCCAGAGTTAGCATCTTGCATAACCATGGCACATGTGTCAAGACTGAGACACCTATATTGGTACATTACTATTAACTAAAATATAGACTTTATTCACCAGTTTTTCCACTGACATTTTTTCACTGTCCCAGAATCCAATCCAGGATATCACATTGCATTTCATGTTATTTACTTTTTATTTCCAGTGATGGGTTTTAAGTGGGAAAGTGATGTGATCAGATTTGTCTGTAGAAATAATCAACAAAATTCTTACGGCAGGTGTGAGGAAAATAGACTGGAGGGGTCCAGACTAGACTGCAGAAGACTTGTTAAAAGGCTGTTGGGAAAGTCCGGTGAGGGATGATGATAGCCTGAACTCTTGGACAGTGAGGATGAAGAGGAGGGATGAGACCTTGTTGGTCTCATGGTAGAGATCTTTCCCAAAGTTGAATGAGTAGGATGTAGGGGAGTCCAATCTTAACCCACTCTTACACCTAAGAAGTGAATACATGTGTATAGCAGATTTTAAACAAAGATGGAGAAAGGAAAAGATCTCTGTCCCAGATCCTTGGGATGAGACTATTTCTGCAATTAAGCACTAAATTTAACTCTTGAGCTCCCTGAAAGCCAAGACAAAGAGGGAAGTTTGATGACATACTCAGTGGAGAGGAAGAGACTGGCCAGATTGGAATGGGAGAAGTTAAACCACCAGAGCACCAGGAAGACAGATCACATATCTGTCCTTGATTCTAAGAGCCCTAAGGAAGCTTTGTTTCTGGGATCACTGGTGGCTCCCGGTGCTCTCAGTTCTGGAGGGGGCAGAGCGGCACAGAGTGGAGTGGGGAGCCCAGCCTTAGACGGGAAGATATCTTTACAGCCAGCCAGTCAGAAGGGTTTCAACCTGGAAATATAATTCTCTACCAGAGCGGGTTGGGGCTCAACATCCCATATAATTTCTTGCTCCTCTCAGTGTGCTGCCCTCCAACCCTTGCTGGAGTTTCCAGCAGGTCTGCAAGAGAAACTGGGCAGGCAGCTTCAAAGCTGAAGTCCAACGCAAAAATGGGTGTCCTTACCCAAAATGTCCCAGCAAGTTAGGGAAAGAGCCCGAATAAGGACCCTGCCTATTTGATTTCAGAGTCTGAGTGCTCCTTGTCTGGACAGAGCTGGTGGTTCTCTTCTTAGGATCCTATTAATTCAAGCACTCATTCAACACAGGGTATAAAGCACCAGCCACAGGCTGGGGGTGGGGAGCTTCAGCGGCCTGCCTTCAGGGAGCTCATCTTCTTCTGGTGGGCAAGACGACACTTTTGACAACCAGCCCTTATTGAAGAGGACTGAACATGGACAACACTCTCAGAGAGGTGCAGGCCTTCCCTGCAGAGGCGAAGGAGATACTGTGTCCCGCTTTGGGAATGGAATGGGGACATAGAGGAAGACTTCCAGAGGAAGTGTGGTGGATCCAGCTGTGCTGGTTTCAACCTGGTCGTGGCTTGTGTGGATACGGAGGGAAACTGGTAAGGGCATTATCTAGGCGCCTGGAATTATGGCCTTTATTTTTCTGATGTGAGTGCTTTGACGTTCATTATCCCAGTTCATTTCGTTGGTGAAAGTGTAGGGTGGGTGGCAACAATTGTGGAAAAATATTAAAGATACTAAACATATTAAGATTCCCATTTCAGAGATGGGGAAACAGGCTCTGGGATGGAGTGGCCAACACCGCAAACAGAATTAAGAATAGCAAGTGTACTGATAACATCGAGAGCCGGAGTTCTGTGCACGCACCGCCGAGCTCCCCAACCTGAGCGCCTCCAGGTTCCGCAGCCGGCTGCCCCTCTGGAATGCCGACTTCTCATTCTTCCTCACGCCAGAGTTCTACCAGGAGCCTAAATGGGTTCCGTCTCCTGCACTCTGGGCGTCGCGGAAAGTCAGGGGTTAAAACCCGTGGCCCTGGTGGCCCCTTCCCCCTCCCCAGCCCCCTCGCCTCCTCTCGGCGCCGCGCCTGGAGCGTCCGTCCCGGAGACCCGCACGAGAGAGGAGGGGAAAAAGTGGGCCTGTTTCTCGGGTGGCCAATCCACCGAGCCCGCGGTGCCCCAGAGGAGGCGCCAGCGCTAGGCCAGCGCCAGGCCGGGGCTGCCTGCTTCCCGCGGCAAAGTACAAATGCGCCCGAGCGCGGCGCCTGGCGCCCTTGGCGTGCATAGCCGGCCCCCGTGCAACCTCCCCCTGCGGCCGCCGCGCCGTCGCCGCCGCCGGGACCGCCGCCCAGCCGGGCCCCAGGACCCCGCGGCCCGACCTCGAGCCCACCGAGCAGTGGGCGCCGGCCGCTTCTAACCCGCGCGCCCAGAACAGCCCACCGGTCCCGCGCGCCTCGCCCAACGCTGCGCGCTCTGCAGACCCCTGTCCTCTCCCGTCTTTCTTCTCCGCCCCTCCCTCTCACCTTCTCCTTTGCTTGAATTGCTTTCCCCCTTTGTCATACCTTCCTCATCTCTCCATCTCCCTCCTTTGCTCTTGTTCTCTTTTCATCTTCCTCTTATTCCCACCTTAGACATCCCTTTCTGCCCTCACCGCCTGCTCTGACTCTGCACTGTGGCAGCAGCCCTCCCTGGGGCTGTGGATTGCTTTGTGCCCCCGTGCCTCAGTGTCCCCTCGTCTCTCGATCTCCGGTCTCCGACACCCCTCCCTGCTCAGCCCCTGGTGGCCTGGTCCTGGGGGAAGGAAGGATGATTCCCGAGGGAAGGGTCCTCTCTTCCTTGCTGGGACTCGCGCTGCTCTGGTTCCCCTTGGACTCCCACGCTCGAGCTCGTAAGTAAGGGGTTGGAGCAGTGGGTGGGCAGAGGAGGGATGCGAGCCCCCGGGATGTGCGGGGAAAGTGCCAGGACTAGGGACCCCAAAGTGTTCTGACTGTCATCCAGGCAGCACCTGTGCCGGAAGGGTGGAGCTCCTCAGCCGACTAGTGTGGGCTGATGACTGGGAGGCTGGGGGAGAACTTAGCAACATTCAGAGCCTAAGGGGCTGGTGACATGGACCTGAGGATGGAGAACTGAGGGCAGCTTGAGAGAGGGCTGGTCATTGTGCTTTGAGGGTGGTGGTGGGGGACACTTATCCCTAGTAGATTCCCGTGTGTTTGACTGCAAGGGTGTGATGACCAGCAAAAGGCTACTGCATTTTAAAGAGAGCTGGTGAAAAGAAAGAAGAGCTAACTAGGATAACCTACCCCTTTGGTTATCTCTTTTGATCCTCACAACACTCTCACAAGGTGGGTATCATTTGCATTTTACAGATGAGAAAACTTGGGCTAAGAGAAGAAACTTGCTCAAGTTTACAGAGCTAGTAAGCCATCCGAAGCCAGAACTCTACAATTCCAAATCCTGCGCTTTTCCCTGCCCCACGGGGTCTGGGAGGAGCCCTAATTTGGACCTGTGAGACTCTGGGAGACAGCAGGGCACTGTGAGAGAAACCAGTCTTCATTATCCCAGATCTGTTAAATACCAGCTGGTGGGAGGCAGGCATGGAGGGTCTCTCTCTGAACCTCAGTTTCTTAATCTATAAAATGGGAGTAAAAACCCCAGAACTGATGTGAGGATTAAATTAGAGAAAACATGTAAAGCAACTAGTTGGCACATGGTAAGTTCCCCAGTTCATACTTTTCCACTTGGACACAGTGTAACCTGGCACAGTCCATATAATCTCTGAACCCCAGTTTTCTTACTGCCCCCCAAATAGACTGGTGGACCCCCTTTCCATCCTCTGCCCATCTCTTAGAATGCTGTGAGCATGTAAAACAAAACCAAAGATTCTCTTAATAAGAAGGAAGGAACTTAGTGCAAACTCTGAAATATCCAATCAAGTAATTGAGGCCCAGGAGGGGCGGTGGTTTGGTTTACTCCAGGTTATACAGGGCAGAGCCTGAGAGGAAGACCCCAGTTTCCCACCTCCCAACCTAGTGCTCTTTCCTCTCCACAGCTCAGCTCCCTCGTCTCTGCCTTTCTTTTGCATGTGACTTTTTGGAGCTGGTAGGGCTGGATTTTGTCTCATTCTTGTCTCTGCTTGCAAAGGCAGGCTGCGTGTCTGGCCGTCCCTGGGCTACCAGCAACAAGAGACTCCTAGCAGTCCTTAGTAACAAGTAATGGAAAGAGCCCAGTGTTGGGTTCAAGTCCTGGCTCTGCCCCTTAGTAGTGTGTGACTTTTCCTAAGTCACAACTTCTCTGAGACTCAATCTTTTCCTCTGTCCAAGATACATACTAACCCGGAACCCAAAGAGTTCTTTCTTGAGAGGATGAAAGAAGGTGCCTGTGTTAAAGTGCTCAGTACAATGCCTAGTACTCAGTAAATGTCTCCTCCCCTTCTTGAGCCCTGGAGGTTTCCTCCTAACACTTACCTGTTGTTTCTTAAAAGGGAGTTAGCACAGGATGCCCTCCTTGCCTGTCTCTCCCACTTGGCACATCGTTCTTAGCCCCCAAGGTTTTTCTCCAGATATCATTGCCCTTATTGCATCTTGGAAAGATGCCCTAGAATCAGATCATTTTGCAGGATTGCTCATGTCCTACCCACAGCCCTCCTCTTTGCCTTCTATATCTTGTCAGCCCTTCACCTTGCTTAGGCAGACCTCTTTCAGCAAACTTCACTGGCTACCTGATCCACTCTGATCTCCTTCCTCTGTGCCTCCACTGGCCTTCAGGTCCATACCTCTCACTTGGTCCTGCCAGGATTCAGTCTCTGCCATAGCCTGGAACTTAGCTCCAGGCACACAGGAAATAACAGAGCAGACTTACTGAGCTAAGGTGAGATGGAGTGGCATTCAGAAGCATGTGCTAAGATTCTGGGATGTCAGAGCTGGAAGGGCCTTTGAAAATCATCTGCTTCTACTTCTCAATTTTCCTATCCTTATAGTTAAACCAAGCCTTAAAAAGAGTGAGTGACTTGTCCATGGTCACACAGTTAATTTATTAAAGGAAAGAATAGAGACCTGGCTTGTAGTCCCTGACTTGTCATTTCCTGGTTGTATGAATTGGGACAAATCATTTTACTTCTCTGACCCTTATTTTGTCTACTGCTGACAATTTATAAATCTGGAAACAATCCTATAGTCACTTGCCAGTATCCTATGAAGTCTCTTATGAAGGTCCTTGTCTTAGTTTAAGTAAGATCTCAGGCCTGTTGCGGGTAAGAAATCTCCTGGTGACATCTCAGGTGCTCCCAGAGGTGGTACCAACAGATGGAAATTCTCAAGTCTGCCAAATCTTGAACTGGCTCAGCCCTGCAAATGTCAAGGGCCAGTGAGCATGTGTGGCAGCTATTCAAATAGAGTTAGTCTATCCTTAGCTCTATTTCCAGCCACAGATTGAGTCCTGATCCTCAAATCTTGACTACAAATTGAACCTCGATTCTGGGTCCCTGACTTGGTCACTGAGCAGTGCGGATTCCAGCCCCAGGTGGAGTCACATGCATGCATGCTGATCATTTTGGGTACTCATCCCTCTGTGGAACCAGAGCCTGCCTAGTATCTCGACTCCTTCTCTAATGCTCTGCCCTCCCCATGCCAACTCCTCTCTTGTGTCCTTCCCTTACTAATTGCCCCCCCCTTTAAAAGGTCCAGCATGCTTCTGCTCTCTCTCCCCTCCCTCCATCCAATCCTGCTTTCAAGAAAGTCAGTTATGGCCCTGGCCGGTTTGGCTCAGCGGTTAGAGCGTCGGCCTGCGGTCCTGAGAGACCCGGGTTCGGTTCCCGCTAAGGGCATGTACCTCGGTTGCAGTTTGTCCCCGGCCCTGGTCGGTTGTGCGGGTGGCAGCCACTCGATGTGTTCCTTTCACATCGATGTTTCTCTCTCTCTCTCTGTTCCTCTCTCTCCCTCCCACTCTACCTGAACAAAAAATGGAAAAATGTCCTCGGGTGAGGATAAAAAAAAAAAGAAAAGAAAGTCAGTTATGAAGTAAAAACATTGATCTCTCTATTGTTTCTCCGAGGGTTATTGTTCTATGGGACTCGAAGCTTCTGCTCCCAGGTGACAGAATCCCAAACTCCAGAGGCAGAGATGGGTGGCAAGGGAGCTCCCATGGTATAATGTGATGCAAAGGACAAACTTGGAATCAGAAGGTCAGGGCTCCAGCTCTGGCTCTGCCACCAGTTCTAACTGTGACACAGGGCAGGTTGCCTTTTTCTGCCCCTCAGTTTCCCCAGCTATAAAGCTAGATAATTGGACTCAAATAGATAATCATTGAGGACCATTCTGCATTTAACATCTTGTGATTCTAAGACTCTAAAATCTGAGGATGTTGCCTTGATTCTGAGTCTTCTCGGACCTTTTGGAAAATGGAGTTTAGGGGGTGGGGTGGGGTGGGTTTGTCTGCAGCCCTGCCAGGGAGGAGTAGCTTGACCCTCAGAAAGTACCTAGAGAGTCTGGGACAGTAGGTGTAGAGGGAGACTCTGCCCTTCTGTTCAGCTTAGTCGCATCCCCATCCACCTGTCCAGATGTACACGAGCGGTGGCGGTTGCCTCACTGAAGGCCTGACATCTGGCTCCAGGCAGGCCCCTCTCTAGGTCTGTCTGGGCAGTCTGCACCTCCTCTCTCCCACCAGTAGAGGTCTCTGTCTTACTCACTGGCTTGCAGACTGCTGAGCCAGAGCCGGCAACAGCTGTGCACTTTCTCCAGCTGTTGCACCTGTTCCAGGACTGGCCTCTCAAGTTCCCTCAGCCACTGGCCATGGCGCCGGGCTCTGGGAGAGGGACCTTGAATCTCTTGGACTCCCAAATAAAAGGACTGGTGTGAGAGCAGTGTCCCTGGGAGGTACAGTGCAGAGATCATTTCAGGCATCCCTTGCCGCTGGGCAGGATCCCATCTTGGGCAAGTCCTGGTTCCTCTCTGGAACTCAGTTTCCACGTCTGTAAAATAGAGCATTGGACATCATCTCTCAGTCCCTACATTGCTAAGATTCTGTGAATCTAACTGTATATGTCCAAGGCCAAATAGAATGTAAACAGTCTCATCTCTGCATGTGTCCCTTTCCTGGTTTGATGGTTCTCTCCTTTGAGGTTATTCTATGTTTCTGAACATCTGTCTTGTGCCAGATAAGAGGAGTCAGGTTCAGATAAGTGAGGACCCTTTACCTAGAGCTGGGCAGAGCTCACCCACTGAGGAGCTGAGGTTTTCACTTCTGGTTTCCTTAGGAGGCCTCGCACATTGGGTACCAGCGCCCAGAGCAGAGCTTCTGTCTTAGAGGGAAGCAATTTGTTTGGGTGAAAGGGGACTATAAATAAATAGAGAAAGGATAGCTGTGTGGGTGGGAGGGATACGATGTAAATGCTCTCACACTCCTGCAGAGCCTGGTTCACTCAGGTCACCTGAATTCTTGCAGGCTGGGGACAGGCCAGCCATAGTTCAGGCCTCTCTCTTCATACCCCAGCCCTTCCTGGTCCCCTCCAGCCTCCCCTGTAGATCAGAAGCATCTTTCTGGTGTTCTCTTCTGCTCCCTATTGGAAGAATTCCCAACCACACTACCCAGTCCTAACTACCCACTACGAGCCCTTTATCATCGGTTGAAAGTTTCAAGGCAGAGTGTGGGATGACCTTGAATAAGACAATTTGGAAAAATGACTTACATGTGGATACCACGAAATCACTCATGCCCTCCCTTCCCAGGCTCCTGACATTTTTGAACGTGGTGTTTGGTTTGACGGGTGGTTTGGGAGTTCAGATAGCGAGAGCTGGAAAGGGGAGGTCAGAGGCTAATTTCTGTTAGGTGGCAAAATCAAAGTGCTGAGAGGGCTTTGGCTCTCCTATCACATCATGAAGGTTTTTTGGTTAA